GTGTGCATGATTAAGAAATCCTAGAGATGATTTATCGTTATTTGTCCTTTATTCTTTACTAGTTTTTATTCATATATGATTACATGATTTACATCTTATCCGAAATCTCTTTCTTCATGTTTGTTGTCTGTCATTATGCAGTTTGGACTTTGGGGCATTTTACCTATTTACATGATGAGCAACTTGGTTGCTTCAAATTTTAGCCATGTTTATGCCTTATTTTCCCTTTTACCTACTTACATGCTTTTATTGGGATAGCATAACAATGCTGACATGCTGGAACCGTTGTGGTCTTTTGCCTATTTACATGATCAACAATGATGACATGCTGGTTTTTTAGCTATTTACATGCTCACAGGGATTGGATTTTAGGATTTATTTACATGCTCAAAGGGATTAGATTTTAGGAGTTATTTACTAATTTACAATGCTAACATACGGTTATTGTGATAGCATCATATCAATGCTCACATGTTATTTAAGATTATGGAAAGGTAACCAATACAGATTTCTTGAAGTGGCCGCTATTGATCCAGATGTTTTATGCATTCCCATTTCCACAGTAGCTTCAGAAAGTGCATTCAGTAACAGTGGTAGAGTATTGGATTAGTATAAAAGTGCTTTAAAACATGACATTGTTGAAGCCTTAGTTTGCAGGCAATGCCAACAAATAAAGAAGTTTTTTGTATATATTACCTTGCAAATTTTCATGTATTTAATTGCAAATTAAATATCCAATTTTCATAATTTTCATGTATTTAATAACTTATGGGTCGGGTTGACCCGAACTCGAGCCGGGTTGGGTTTGGGTTAGGAAAACTGACCCGAAACTTGAATTGGGTCGGGTCAAAGTTGGCTTTGACACGAACATGATCCGTTGACACGAATTGACACCCATAGCCTACTTCTGGCAGAGCTCGGCTGAAGTCAGTTTATGAGAGGGAATTGATGACCATCATATTAGTTAATCAAAAGTGGGGCCTTGTTCGGTCAACATTTCATCTTCAAGATAGATCAGCAGAGCTTGAAGTACTTGCTGGAGCAGAGAATGGTGACTAATGAACATCAGAGGTTGTTGTCAAACCTGTTGAGCTATGACTTTGAGATTCAGTATAGGCCAGGGCTAGAGAACAAGGCGACAGATGCCTTATCTAGGTGCGTGGGGGAGCTCCAAGAGCTAGCTATTTCAGTACCACTGATGCTAGATTAGGGGGCTATTAAGGAGAACAGTATGCAAGATGAAGGGCTGAGGGGGATTATGGCGAATCTACTGAAGGATGATAATAGCTACCCTGACTATTCTCTAGAAGGGGAGAGATTGTTGTAGCAGGGAAAGTTTGTGCTACCACAGACCTCAGTTCATATTCCCCACCTGTTGTAGGAGTTTCATGGGAGCGCTGTTGAGGGCCATTCTAGCGTGCATATGACATAAGGATACTTGCAATAAAATTGTATTGGAAGGGGATGCATAGGGATGTGGAGGAGATGGTGTCTAGGTGTGAGCTCGAGGGAGATTACTTTAACCCCTGGTTCTTCTAGATAGAGTATGGGAGGAGGTCATCATGGATTTCATAGATGTGTTACCCCGATTTGATGGGTTTACAATGATTCTCATGGTGGTTGACTGGTTGAGCAAATATGCTCATTTTGTTCCCTTATGACACCTTTACACAGCTATGATAGTGGAGACAACATTCATCAGGGAGATGGTCAGATTACATGGGATCCCTGAGTCGATAGTTTCTGATTGAGATAAGGTATTCATCAACAATTTCTGGAGAGAGTTGTTCAGACTGCATGACACATTTCTAAAGAGAAGCACCGGTTGCCACCCTCAGATCAATGAATAGACAAAGGTAGTGAATAGGAGCATGGAGACTTACCTGCGATATTTTGCTTCTGAGGCACATCAGATGTGTTCCACGTGTCACAACTGAAGAGAGCTATTAGGGATCATGCAACTTGCTCAGAGTTACATTTGGTACTGACAGAGGATTTAGAGGTGTTATTAGAATCATTGGAGTTGAGAGAGGTCTGACGGGGAGACGGAGAGACCAAGGAGGTTATGATAAAATGGAAGAACTTACTAGCAATGTTTAAAATTGCGTAATTGGGTATTGAGGTATTTTTTGTTCATAAGGCGAGGCGTAAGCCTCAAAATAAAAAATTACGTAAAATGATAATAAATGTCAAAAATGATTTTTTTATATAATACTAAACTATATGTTGAATGATAACATATTAATTTTCTATTGAATTATGAATTAACAAATTGGCATAAATATGAAATAAAAAATTGCACAATATATGAAGTGATAAGTGATAAACTATGTGATATAGAATTAAAATACAAATATAATAAGAGCAAAACATTATTAAATATTAGAAAAGCTATTGAGAGGAAGTTGTTACGCTTGAATGTGCATGAAGGTGTGATTTATGTTACTTTTAACAAAAAATTATATACAAATACGGTGAGGCGTAAGCCTCACACTAGCAAGGCGAGGCGGGCCTCGGCCAAGCTGAGGCGCAAACCTCATAAAAAAGCTACAGGCGTAAGCCTCGAGGCGTTTTTCACTAGAATTGCGCTGAGGCGGGCCTCAACGTGAGCCTCATATTACACAATTTTAAACAGTGCTTACTGGACTATGACGTCACCTGGGAGCCATATGAGAAAGTATTAATTTTCATCCTTTCACCTTGAGGATAAAGTGATTCTTTGGGAGGGGGATATTATTAAACCAGTACAAGATGGACCGGTCCAGCCGGCCTAACACAAAGGCCAGCCCTTAGTGTATTCCAGGCAGACCAAGCAAGCTGCCAGTTCCTTTATGGAGCCTATGATTTGAATGCAAATTAAAAAAGTGAGGGCGGTTTAGGAGGGAATAAATTTTGGGAGGACCTGTTTAGTAATTATCATTATATTTGTATTCTCTAAATAGGGGGAAATGGCTAGGATTAGGATTAGGTTATGTTTGGCTGAATTTGTATTTCTCTTGGGGTTTACTTGGGCTCTAGCCACCGGCTAGGGAATAGGAGAGCTGGATCTTCCTCTCGAATTGAAGATCCATTGTATCTTATTTGTTTTCTTCTCGTTTTCATCAATTATGAAATTTCCCTAGTGTTTTGCCATCAAATTTCTCTTGATTTCTATTTTATCTTGCTGAAATATCATATTTCAGCCAAGGTTATTTCAATTTCTGTAAGTATTTTCTTCAATTTCCAATAGAAATTTAATATCAATTTTGACATTTTAAGTGTATTTGTGTTGGGAATAGAATATATGTGAATTTCAAACCATGTGATAAGATAATGATACACTTGAATTTAGTCAGGTTTCCAAGGGAAGCCTTTAAGAAATGAATGCAAGAAAGGCATTATCATTCAAAAACATGTAGTGCATTAGGAGAAACACTTTTAAATTATAAATTATAAGAAATATAGGATTAGTTTAGTCTTCAATAAATTTGATTTGACTTTATTTAATGAACCTATGTCCATCTCTTTTCATCTCATCTTTTATAATTTACATCAAATTTTTTAGAAATAATTCTACTTTTCTTGTTTGTGAAATTACATTATATGTTAAAATTATGCCCAATGTTGATGGTGGATTTGGAGATATCTTGTGCATTGGAATGATAGGCTTGTGATGATTCTTTGATTACTTAGTGGGACATTATGTGCTTATTTGATTGACGAATATCAAATGCTAAATTCATCTATGTTGAAGTTTTTGAAGTCAGGTAGATTATAAATATCTTCATGTTTACTCTAATTAAAAATGTTGAGAAAATAAACTATTTGGGACAATATTCAATCTATCTTAATTATTTCATAGTTTATTTTATAATTTTATTTTTATTTTACTTACAATGATTTGACCTATGAAAATAAGACATCATATATTATTCTTGTTGTATGGTAATATTGTGTTTTTATGGTTGTTCTGTTCAATCTCTGTGTTGAATGGGTTCACAGTAGATTATTGGAATTAGAGTTATGAGCTGTGGAGCAGATGTTACCATGCCTATCTCTATAATTCTTGAAAGGTCCTTCAGCATTGACTTTTGATCAATGCTGTTTGGATTTATCCATTCCATGAGATTTCTCTTACCATTATTTAAGTATATTTAGGATTTGAATTGCACCGACTACAGAGATTGATGACTTTAGATGTGATGTTCATAAATAAAAATTTGAGCTTGTATCATAATCTTTAGCCTTAATAAACATTTTGATTTCTATTAAATCTTGAGATTTTGGTTTGGCGATAATTCCTTCATGCACTGTGTATGAGCGACTCTAATTTTGGGGACAAGCCTATCTCCTTATAATGATATGAGATTTGAGTTTTCTCTATTTGGAACCCTTTAAGACACCCTGCATCATACAGCGGCACAGTCCATTAAAAGAGGCATTGCTTTAATTTGTAGAAGTATGGAAGAATTTGATTAACATAGTCATAACAAAATGTTGGATTTTCAATATCTTTACATCGAGATGCTTTACTGTGGGACAATCATTCTTTTTTGTATTGTTGAAATAAATGGAATGGTAAAAGGTTGCTGATCGGTTGGATACGTCATGTCATATAATGGTACTTGTGGAGACATTAATGCATTTAGAGAAATTTTCATGCGTTGTCATTGGCAATGGACAATTTGGGCCAAATATTGCAGTACATCTATGAATGAATAAGTAATGAAACCAAAGGCTTCCAAAGTAGCCATTATTTAAGAATGTATCTAATTCAGTGATAGTTACCTTCCCTTTTGATGTATTTTTGTTGTAATCTAATTCATTACTTCTATTTTAGCAGGCAGAGTCACGTAGAAAAACCTCGCATCAATTGACATTTTTTTTCACTGCATGCTTGAGAAAATTGCTGTCCAATGGTCATAAAGCTGCAGCTTCAAGCTTTTTCATCACCAGGAAATATAATTTTGTTGTCATATATGTTGACGTTGCAAGCTCTTATTTACTCAATTTGTCTCCAGGTCCTGAAGTTGATCGCATAGCAGCGATTGCAGGGAAGTACAAGGTCTTCATAGTTATGGGTGTGATTGAAAGAGCAGGGTATACACTTTATTGTACAGTTCTCTTTTTTGATCCTTATGGTCAGTACCTTGGTAAGCACCGCAAACTCATGCCCACAGCTCTGGAGCGTATTATCTGGGGTTTTGGTGATGGATCCACTATTCCTGTGTATGAAACCCCAATTGGAAGAATTGGTGCCCTCATTTGTTGGGAGAACAGAATGCCCCTCCTGAGGACAGCATTGTATGGTAAAGGTGAGCATTTTTCATTATAGTTTGGGTGTTTAGTTTCAATGTAATTAAAAGATCATTGAATTTATCTAATTCATTTTAATTAATGCATTTCTTATTATTTACAATTCCTAACCCGACCTTAGTGGAATAACAATGATATCGAGCCCCTATTACATGGGGCTGGCTACATGAATCCTTTTCCTACATTGTGTCCTCTTAGTAGTCAAATTCTCATTTAAATCTAATGAACAAAAAAAAGTTATTTCTAATATTTTCTAACCAACTCTTTTTAGGTCTACCTCTACCTTTCTTAAATAGGCCGGATCTAATATATATGCCCTCCTAACCAGGTCATTAGAAGACTGATGTTTTATGCGATCAAACCATCTAAGACGACTCTTTCTAATCTTATCTACCACTGGAGTTGCTCCAAACTTTTCCCGTATATGCTCATTTCATATTTTATCTCTAAGTATAAAGTCACTTATCCACCCAAGCATCCTCATCTTTGCAACACTTAAACTTAATTTTATGCTTCTATTTTAATGGACAACATTCTGTGCCACAAAACATTGTAGGTCTCACCACCTTTTTTTAGAAAAAATTCCCTTAAAATTTGAGGGATATTTTATATCACACAACAGGCCTGATGCATTCCTACACGTGAACTGTCTAACTCGAATTCTACTAATAATATCCCCATCTATATTACCATCGCTTTAAACAATAGGCCCAAGTTATCTAAAGTGTGCACTTATTTTAAATGACTTGATAACCTAATGTTACAATCCCACCACTAGATCTATTACTACTAAAATTACACTCAGAGTATTTAATTTTAGTTCTACGCAAACAAAAATAGTTAGACTTGAAGATTGACCTCTATAATTTATGTTTTCCTTCAATTCCTTCTCTTGTTTTATTAATAAGAAGAATATCATCTGTAAAAAACATACTCCAAGGTAAATCGTTTTGCATATGTCAGTAAGAATATTCATGACTAAAGCAAAAAGATATGGACTTAAAACTAATCCTTGATTTAATCCAACTGAAATAGGAAAGTACTTTCCGAAACTACCTTTGTTTGAACACAAGTAATAGCTCCTCTTTATATATCCTTAATGATTCAAATATAAGCATTGTTAACAGGAGGTGAGAGTTGGCAATCGGTAAGATGTACATCATAAATTAGTCATTGAAAAGTCAAATGATAATCGACAAGTAATTTCAAAAGTTGAGCGATAACATTGGTCTATTTGGTCATTCTAATGATAGTATGAGAGGCTAAATGACTTGTGATATTAGAATTTGATTCCAATCATTAGATGATATTAGACGATTGTTGACGAGGAATGTCAGAAGTTGGATGATGACAAGTGGGTATTTTTGCCTTTCTCGTAATAGAAGAGGACATTGACTATGAATATGGGTTTTAGACGTTAATGGTTGACTAAAGTTAGATGTCATCATTTATTGGCAGATATTTGGCAAAGGTCGACAAGGAATGCCAAAAATGGGGTAATAATGGTCAATTAGTTTTCTGGTAGGAGGGAGAAGTAGTTATTGATAAGATGAGTATGAAACTTTGATCGTTGAAAATCATCAATCAGTGGAGGCGTTGGACAATGCTTAAGTTAAGTTAATATGGGTAGTAGATGGTTGCCATAGTTGTTCATTTGATAGAATATAAGATCGATTGATTGATAAAACAAGCATTGGAGGATGAAAGGTTATGGACATTGGATGTTGATCATTGATAGACCTCAGATGATGGTTGATGAGAAACATAAAAAAAAATAGGTAATAACGAGTTTAGTTATTTTCATAATAAGTGCGGAGTTTGTATGAATGGGAAGTTAAATGTCTGTGACTCACAAATGTTAGGCATCGGTTGTTTTTAGAGTTTGATCAATGATTGATGAGGAATGTTGGAAATCATGCAATGGTGGGAGGTTAGTTTGGCCATTTTTTGATAGGAGGGGAGACCAGGTGATTGAGAAGATGAGTATTGGTTGTCTGTAGGCCATAGATATCAGACATTTATTGGTAGGCGTTGGATGACTATTAACTGTTGGATGACTATTAACTGGGAACATTAGAAATCTAGGGACGATGGGAAACTAGTTTGGTAATAGAAGGGATGACTATGAGATTGATAAGATGAGTATTAGATATCATTGGTTGAAGAACATTAGACATCCTTCATTAGTATGCATCTAATATCGATTGATGAAGAATGTTTGAAGTTGGACAATGAATATGAAGGAAGACCTGTTGATTGATAAGATCTGATATAAGGGGATATTGGTGACTGGAGAGATGGACATTAAATGTCAGTCATTGACAAACATTGAAGGGTGATCAACAAGGAATGTTAGAAGTTCGATGATGACTAGTGGTTGTCTTATTTGTTCTCTTGATAGGAAGGGGTAATTTGATGGCCAATAAGATTAACATTAGATGTTATAAAAATATCAAAATTTGGTCATTAGTAGACATCAAATGACATTCAAGTAGGAATGTCCAAGGTAGGCTAATGGGGGGCAGTCAGCCTGGTTATTCTCATTATATGAGGAATTGGGTGACTAGAAAGACTAGCATCAGATGTTAGTGGATTATGAATGTCAAATGTCGATCTTTGACATGTAATGGGTGACATTTGATGGGGAACATATTAAAACAAGCAATGATGGACGGTTAGTTTGGTCTATATCCTATTAGGAGGGGTGATCAGGTATCATATATCAAATGTTGGTGGTTGGTAAGATCATATATCAAACGTTGGCGGTTGGTAAGCAAATGATTATAGTTGATAGATAACATCCGATATTTGTTAGTGGTGGGCAGTAAATTTGCTGTCTATACTGATAAAAAGGAGTATTGGGTTGCCGATAAGATGGGCCTTGTAGGTTAGTAGGTGATGGATGTTAAATATCTTATGTAGGCAGGTGTAAAAATACAGTTGATATGAAATATCAGATATAGGCTGATGAACATTGGCAATGAAGGGTAATGATGTTGGCCAACTACTAGCTTCAGAAGTAGGGTGGCCAGCATCAATGATGGTTGATGGCCAGTGTAAGCAATGGAGATGATGGATGTCGATATCATTTGATAGCCACCACTATATAGTGGTGAACATCAATGTCAGTTGTCAATCAATGTCGAGCGGTGGCAATGGTGGACATTGATGTTGTCAATGATTGACATACTTTGGCATTAATTGACAGTAGAAAAAGTTATAAAGTTCTTTGTTGAAAATCTTCACCTAAGTGTCTAGAAATATGTACGTGTATATATTTTTGCAGTGTGCCCATTATTTTTATCAAAAAATTGGACGCCTACAGCTGATCTAGAAAGCCCCCTCATGTGGCCTAACGTTAGATCTTTTGGAATGACCATAAGATGCTTGAAGGGCTTTCCCAATTGGCTTAGGAAAGAAGTGAATGATATGAAAAGGATAATTTTATGTGGAGTTAATGATATGGAAATGAGTGGTTGGCCAACACAAATAGTACCCAGGAGAAAATTGGTAGGCTGAATTTTGAGTACTAGTAAAGCCAATGTGCTCAATCTCTATCCTTGAAATCACTTGCAAATGAAAGAGGAATGTGTCTATTTCTGATTGGGAGAATTTCATAAAATTTTATGGGTTCTGATAGTTGTTTTAGAATTTTTAAAACTTTGGTTCACTAAAAACTCTAATCTGGTATGCAACACAAATCAAGGTTCAATGCTTTAAATATTTGGTTTAATGGAAGGAAAAATTCTTGTGAAGTCTTGGAAGTTGAAATATAATGTATCTATGTTAATTCTATATGTTTTCAAGAATTTTGGAAGAGTGAAAGATCAGCAAACCCTAATTGCAATTAAACTGGATCTAGTCTTGCAGCCCTTTGGCTGACAAGCCCATATTTGGGATTTCTTGAAAAATAGTTAGGAAATTTTTTATGAACCAAAGGAATAATTCTTATAGAAAAAAATCACATAAAATACATCATCAAGCTTTTATCCCACTGTGGGGTCGGCTACATGAATCCTTTTTCTCCATTGTGCCTTGTTAAAAGATAAATTCTCATTTAAATTTAATAAAGAAAGGTCATTTCTAATATTTCCTAACCAAATTTTTTTAGGTCTACCTCTATCTTTGTTAACATAAGTCAAATCTAGTACATCTACTTTCCTAATCGGGTCATCAAAGGCCCACCTTTTTATATGACTAAACCATCTAAGATGACTTTATCTAATCTTATCTTCCACTAGAGCTACTTGAACCTTTTCATGTATATGATCATTTCATATCCTATCTCTAAGAGTAAAGCCGCTCATCTACTTGAGCATCCTCATCTCTGCAATACTTAACTTAATATTATGCTTCTCTTTTAATGGCCAACATGATGTACCATAAAACATGTAGGCTAACCACCATCTTATAGAATTTTCTTCTTAAGTTTGAGGGGGACTTTTCTATCACACAATAAGCCCGAAGCATTCCTCCACTTCAACCATCCAACTTGAACTCTACTAGTAATATCCCAATCTATTTCACCATCACTCTGAACAATAAACTCAAGATATCTAAAAAGTGCACCAATGTTTAAAATTGCGTATTCGGGTATTGAGGCGTTTTTCATTCGTGAGGCGAGGCATAAGCCTCAAAATCAAAAAAATGCGTAAACATAAAATGATAAATTTTATACATAATAATGAGTAAATAATATATAAAAAATAAAAATGCTACTTACCACATCTTTGAGGATAAATAAGGGAGACATATCACATAAGAACTCACTAGTCATCAGCACTGTCATCGCTCATCAGTCATCACTAAGGGGGTCTTCATTTGAATCATCCTTATGATGAACTGCTCTCTCCTCTTCCTCCTCTCCTATAGAGTCCAATATCTCCCAATCAGCTCCTTCCTCATTATCAGTTATCTTCTTCTTCCCTAAATATTTTTGAACAATATCATAATGAATAATAGTGTAATATATTAATAAAAGTCTAAGAAAAGAAAACTA